CCTCCTCCTCTGTGTCTTCAGATGAAGTCCTTCCATTGAGAAATCACTTCAGGTAAGAAGGTTTCATTTACATTTTTTAAAAAAGAAATTAAATTAAATTAAATTAAACCACAGCCCCAACAACCCAGATCGCTAGACCACTTCGGTCTGATCCTAGCATAGGAAAATCCGGGGCCGTGGAGGTTTTAATTAATAGCCATGACAAAGCTTGGAAAGACGTCTATTGGTCGGCTTGACTCCTAGTTTTAAGCACAGCCTTCCCCCCCCCCCGAAAACAAAACAAAACAAAACATCAGGCCACCTCATCTTGTATGTAGCCTGACCAGAGGAAGATGGGCCATTTTAAAGAAGGAATATCAACGATCTCCTGATAATGCTAGAAAAGGGGGCGTCTGTTACCCCCCCCCCAAAAAAAATGGGAAGGGAGGCAGGTTGTTCCCTCAAAAGTGGCTCTTTGGGACCGAAAGATCTTTTCTGCCCCTCCCGGAGTCCACATTTGTTTTAAAGGTTTAACGCCTCTGGGTTGTTTGAAAGGGAAAACTACAAACGCTTCTTTTAAGGGAGAGAGAAGCCGAGTGTTAAAAGAGAGGGATGTGATTTATGGCATTGAGAAAGTTGTGTTTATTTGAGGTGGCTGCTGTCAGGAACGGGTTTCTTTTCTTTTTTTCCCCTGATAGAAAATCAAATCTGCATCCCTTCTCCTCTCTTCTCCCACTTCTCACCCCTTTCAGGTTGTTCTCTTTTATGTTTGCGAGTTGTGGTTAACAAACATCTTACTAGGGTGTGAAGAAAACAGAGGCTGGTCTCTGCAGAACAAGAAAAGCGAAGCCAAGGTGGCTGCATCCCTTCTTGTAAGCCTCTATCTATGTAGTCTTCCAGGGCCTGAGAGCATTTAACAATGGGTTTCCTCCTCCCCCGCACCTCCATATTTACTCAGCCGCTACTTTTCCTCCAAAGGATGCAAGGTCTTTTACCCAAGAACCTGGACTCCAAGCCCACTCAGTGAGTATAGAGAACTGAACCCAGTCTTGGCCATCGTCAGAGCAAGTCTCTAGAAATCAGTGGGAACAAGGAAGCCCTGAGCAGCTTAAGTCCCATTGATTTCTACTCCCATGTAGAAACCCGTTCAAGCCACATTTGCAGGGGAGTCTACTTGGAAGTAAGCCCCGCCAGGAGTGAATAAGATTAACTCCTAGGTCCCTGTGCTTGAATTCGCTTGAATTTTATTTTTAGAGGGACAAGGCGACCTCTCCAGCTGTACATGCGAGCTTCCATAGGAATCACTCCAAAGAAATATATTGAGCTTTGGCATGGGTTGTAAGGTTCTTTTTTTTTTTTTTTTTTTTTTTTTTAGAATTCCAGGATAAAAGGTAGCCACAGGCCACATTCCACAGAAGCCAATGTAACATTTTCCTTAGGGTCGAATATCAATAATTCCAGTTTCCTTGGGAAATTATTTGGAAGAAGGAAAGAAAGTTTTAATGGGGACAGTTTAGGCATCAACGGCCCAAAGTTTCCTAAGGAACATCAGGGACACTGGAGAGCTGCAATGTAGTTTTGGGATTTAGGTTGTGGCCATATTTTAGCAGTAGCACCAGTTCCTTAACCCATCAGACAGGAAAGGTCTGCCTTCAGAGAGAAGGAGGCAGCGGTCTAATGTTATCAGCTTCGTTGCTTTTGTCTGAGGTCTTATCTGCACTGCAGATATAATGCATTTGACATCACTCATGACTCAATGGTATTAAATTCTGGGATTTGTAGTTTTGTGAGATAGCTAGCCTTCTCTGGAAGAGGGCTCTGGTGCCACAACAAACTACAAATCCCAGGATGCCATAGCGTTGAGCCATGGCAGTTTAAATGGTGTCAGACTGTACTATTTCTGCAGTGCAGATTAGACTTAGGCTTCTGGCAATCCTGGGAGGCCTTGTTGGCCTAAAATCCAGTATGGATATGCGTGTGTGTGTGTGATTATAGGCCAACTAACTGGGATACAACCCTTCCTTCTCCAAAGAGATCCTTTCTTTTTTTCTTTCCTGGTCCACTAAATTTCCTCCTCCTGGCGTAAGATTTCTTCTCTGTGTTGGCAAGCAACTGGCTCTTTCACTTAACAGAATCGCCTTGCCTTTGAAAAATAGAAGTTGCATTTGGAAGGACTTCCCTCTCCCCCGCAAAAGGAGTTGTCAAATAGATAAACCGTGGTTATTGACAGTGCACAGACATTCTGCATTCAGGGTGGTACTGATGTTAATAATCCAGTTCTTGGAATGAGGCGCTCACTATATAAGCAAATACCTTTGTACAACAACAAAACTGCGAAAACTGCCCCAGTGGGTAATATTTCCTGCGGCAATCTATGGCCATATTAGAAGGGAGTAGAATGAATTTTGCTCTCCCAGACTCTCCCTTCTCTCAAAATGGCTTTGCATTAAATTTCCTCGGTTCCAGAATCATCTTCCTTACTAGCCTCCAGCTAAACTTGATTAAACAACAACCAAAAAGAGAGAGAGAGAGAGTAGCTTGATGCGTTGACAGATGAAATCCAAGAGGAAACCACAAGGCCCTTAAGTGACCCTAATTTAATCGATTTTATCATAAATCATCAACTTGATGAAGAACCAAAGTTTTCATTGAAGGAAATTGATATTAATGGAGTGGCTGCTTCTTTAATTCAGATGTTGTTTTTCACCAGCTGGAAGACAAACATCTTGTGACATTATTTGGGCAATTTCCTTGGGAACTATGTTTCAAAAAAGAAAGAAGGGAAGAAGCTCTTAATGGGACAGTCGAGACAAGAGCACCTCTAAGAGCCATGGCAGGACTTCAGTGTGGCTTTGGACTTTGGCGGTTTAGGCTGTGGTCATATTTTAGTGTAGCACCAGATCACTAACCTCTGATAACCCACCAGACAGGAAAGATCTGCCTTCAGAAAGAAGAAGGCAGCTGGTCTAATCTCATCATGTTTGTTGTTGTTATTCGAGGTCAAGTTGTCAAGTCAGCATAGATTTCTGGTGACCCTATGGATGACAGACTTTCAAAAGCCTCTTTGGGCAACAGCCCTGCTTAAGTCTTGCAACCTGAGGATTGTGGTTTCCTTTATTGAGTCAATCAATCTATAATGTGCTTTTCCTACTGCCTTCCACTTTATTGAGCCTAGTTTTCTTATGATGTGTCCAAAGTAAGATAGCCTCACTTGGCTTCTGCTGAGAGTTCAGGATTGGTTTGCTCTAGGAACCATTTGTGGTTATGTTTTTTGGCTTTTTACATGGTCCCTGTGATCAGTAGGACTTTCCTACTGAACCATATTTCATATCAATTGATTTTCTTCCTCTCAGCTCCCTGCATGGTCTACCTTTCCAGAAATCAGAAATTTTAAGGCATAGATGATCCTGGTATTCCTGGTTTGGTATTCCATGATGTAACTGTACAGTTGTCTAATTCCTTCATAGCTGCCCTGCCAAGTTTTATTCTTCTAATTTCTTGATTCCAGACTCCATTTTAATTTATGACTCAGTCAAGATATAGGAAATCTTTAACTATTTTAATATCTTCATCCACTTTTAAGTTATGTAAATCACCTGTGGTCATTATTACCTACTTAATATATCCTAGGGCAGAGAGAAAGGACCATCTTTTGCTCTTTAAAGATCTAATTTCAAGCTTTGGAGGGAAGTCTTAATTACATAATGAAGATAAAAATTACAAAATTCACTTTGAATGTGTAATATCCTTGATTGCACAAACAGACCTGAGTTAAAGCAAGCTCCAACTATATGACTGTTAAATCCAAAACCCTAAGTTATCCTTCACAATACAGCTTTTGAGGGCCTGTTAAACATTGGCCATGCTGCAATTC